CTGCCTGAAATTATGAGGTGATACATTTAGTGAACGGTAATCATGACTATGAATATGACTTTTATGGAGATGGTATTCTAGTTTTTATCAGGGGCTCAAAGGGATCCAACATCAAGTCGTGGGTATCGTGAGTATCCACTTGACAGCCAAAAACACAACTAGCAGTCCCGATATTCCTTTCAACAAGCTGGAGTGACTAATTTCTGATTATATTTCGTTTGTAATAAGGTTCTCGAAACTGCCACTAAATCAGATATATGAGATGTGTTCATACAGTTTCTTCTAATGTGATTAAGGACTGGTGGTTTAATTTTCCCACAATCATATGAATAGATCTTACTTTTGACGTAGCCTTGTTTTCACATGAGTTACTCTCATCCAGGTTGGAGTGGGCTGCATTTTCGACCTTGCCTGAACTGATCTCATCCTCACCTTCAACGTGACTAGAAACATGGCAGTGCAGCACGCCATGCATTGCTACGAGTTTCCATGAGTCACAGGATACACATGAACCTGAAGAATGGCCAGGCATTTTTCCATATCACAGGTTATGTTGAGATTGCCGACGAAACAACGTTATATTTGCAATATGACTCGATTATGTTACTTATTTTCGTTTATAAGCAGGTTTTTGAGACTTATTGTAGATCAGATATATGAGATGTGTCCACCCTATTTCGTAAGGTTCATTCTTATGAGTATGCAAGTATTTTATTAACATAAACGAAATATAGTGAATACATATCATATATTTGATTCACTAGTAGTGTAGAGAAACTACTTGCAAACAAAAAAATAAGTAATGTAGTCGATTGCTATTGCAAATATAAGTTTGCTTAATTGGCAATCCAATACGAGCTTGTGATATGGAAAAATTCACATCTGTTCTAGGTCGCAATGGCGCTTGTGGCAATGTGGCGTAGTGGTTAAAGTGTCGAGATTATATGCTGCACTGTCATGGTTCGAGTCCCGCTGGGGGTGTTGATGATATGAGTTTAGGCGAGGTTGAAACTGCAGTCCTGTCCAGTCGGGATGAAAATACCTTTTAGAATGCTAGTTTATGTGAAATTTAATGGAAACGTAAGTACTACTCATGTCATTGTGGGAAAATACAATTATCATTCGCTCATTATCTTGAACAAAATGGAGTGAATACACCTTATATACCTTGTGGTGTCTCTCACTCTGAATCGAGGCGACCTGAAGCTATATTCATCAGAGACGGGTTTAGTAAACGCAATAGATTTGGAGGTTCCTGTCTCAAAATTTCCACAAAAAGCAGCTTCTATTTCACCGTTTTACACAATTCCTCGTAATCCCACTCCGTGTGTGACCTCAAACTCCGGTCACATGTACATTTAACGACAATGCGAGCTTGCATATTTGCTCGCCTCTCTCTGACAGTCTATCACCGCTCGACGACGCTCAATCCGTCGTCGATAAAGTCCTGATTTCAACAACTGGCCGAGATCGAGAAAAAGACGTCAAAAAAATCTGAAGATTATTTGTGCGTCGGCTAATGCAATACTGTCAGATGGGCAGAACTCCCTTTCCGACGGAGCCACTACGGAAATGTAAACTACGTAGACTTCTTGGACAAAACAGATACCATTAAATCTTTAATTTATTTTAAAATGCTGAGTAAACATGTTCCGCAAATTAACCTTAATGTCTACCAAAGAAGGCTCTGTCGGCATTTGTCACTACGTTATAGACGGAAATGCAGCATTGATGGATCGAGATCGCATAAGAATGAATTTAGGATTGTGTCATACTAATCCTTCAGTTTCATTTAGGGCTAATTCAAGACATCCGTTGAACCGAGTTTTCCTTTGAACTAACAATTCGTGTGAAATTCGTCAAAGGATGCTTGACGATGTGTGTAGGGGCTTGCAGACTAAATACGACAGACAAAATGGTTTCATCAATGAAGAAAAACTGGGTTTCGAAGAATTCCTCAATGAAATACGGTGGCATGACTCTCCATTTCGACATGAAAATTGGTTGAAAGGAATTCGTGATGTGATCTCACCGAAAACCGAATAAAGATTATTACGTAAGCAAGACTGTTGAATTGTGCGAGAAAGTCCTCGAGCTTTCGTCTGTACCACCGTGACATCATCAGAGCAAGATTTCAAACTTCACGAAATAGAACAAAAATATACTAAACCAGGAGAAAATTTGTCCTGCTTTAACCCTAGTTGCTTTTTTCATATACCCAACATCGCCATCTTAATGAAGACTCTTCTGATCGGGTTGGCTACTTCAACCTTCCTCTACCTACTTGCAAATTAGTGAAGTTAACTTCCCAAACCGAAAATGCTGTTTCATCCCAAAAATGATCTAATCTACGATCCTCTAATGTATGTAATACTCATGTCATGAGTAGTAGTAGTATTAGTAGTAGTAATTGATAATCCTAGCTAGACACGAGGCTAATTAAGCCTCATTCTCT